GAGAATACTGAAGCTGTCTCTTCTAAAATCCAGGGTCTTTGTCCTATTACTCGTCTTCAGTGTGCTCAGCAGCATCTTAAATTCCACAGTGTTGTGATCGCTATGTCAACTAAGTCTTGTTGGGTTGTGAACAGCAAAACTACTAATGTGCTGTTCCTAGTCAGCATGTCCAGCATCTGTAGCAAGAAGCAGTCCTTGATGTATTTCAGAAACCTGATGGAAGATTTGTGCACTGCTATGTTGTTTTCCCAACAAATGGCCAGGTAACAAGTCATTCATGAGGACTTGTATGTTCTGTTGGCCTGAGACTTCCCTGAGCAGCCAAACTAAGGTTTTGTCAGCCTCATCATCCTGATTGGGACATCAGTAATAGATACCTAACATAAGATGCCCCTTGGTGATGATCTCTCTAATCTCGATCCAAAAGCATTTGATAGAACTTTTGTGATCTCCATAGCTCACCTCCATACACTCCAATTTCTCTTTTACATAAAGTGCAACTCCACCTCTTCTTCCCTTTCTATCTTTCCAAGAGAATTTCTAGCTATCCATTGTGCTCTTCCAGTCATGTGAGACTTCCTACCAAGTTTCTGTGATTCTCATGACATCATAACTCTCAGACTTGGCTCCAGTTCCCCCTGTTTGTTGCCCAGACTATGTGTGTTGGTATACATGCACCTGAGGTGGCTGAAACTAGGGTTCCTGACTTTGGAAAGGGTTGGGGAGCATTCCTCTCTACACTGGTAGGCATACTTATCCATCCTGCTTGAAGTTGCCCAGGTTTTGCACTTCCACATGGAAAAGTAGGGGATAGGAGTATGTGCTTTTTACCATTGGTGGCAGTCCCTTTAAGACATCTGGAATCTTGGGTCCTAACAAGCAGGAAACTTTTCCTGACTGTGTATCAGGCCGACAGACAGATTCGTCAGTGCCTCTCAGCAGAGAGTCGCCCACTACCAGCACTTTCTGATTCCTTTAGTAGCATTTAGTATGTGCTCCTGGCACTATTTCTCTCTGTGAATCTTGGTCATTGGTTTAATCCACTGCCAAGACTTTGTATCTGTTACTTGTTGGTACTTCGGAGGAAGAGGAGTGGTATCCGGTTCCCACGGGTCACGAGAGATCATGGTAGCTTCTTCTCCAAGCTGCTGTTTCTTTGATGTTGAAGCTCTTTGTCTGGTAGTCCTTGGAGATCAGTGCCATGGGGCTCTAGCATTTCTTCTTCCACAGTCTCAGTTAATACGCTATTTCTTGTTCAGCTAGCATAATACAGAACAGCCTGCTAACTTTTTTCTGCATCTCCTCCTCCCACTACCTGAGTGACTCCACCAGAACACACCTTACACAGGTGTGCAAGCTCCTCTACGATCATAAAGGGCCTCAGCCCTTCAACCATATTTCCCTTCACCACCTTTCACTTGCAAGCACGCCAAAGGGCTGTTTCCTGCACCTGCCATTGCGGAACACCAACCTCTGGTTCACAGCTCCTTGAACGAAAGGCCCAGAAGGCTGCATTCTCGGTTTTTGGGCCACTCTGCTGCAGAGCTCCTCCAGGGTGAGCCTGACACCACATAAGTACACTGCTTCATCCCCTTGTTTTGCTGCCTGGATCTGCAGTGTCTATCTGTTCTGGGAGCTTACCACTGATCCCTTAAAGCGATCCTCAGTGCCTTCTCCATAGTTATCATCCTCTCACCAAATCCAGTCCAGAGTGCTGTGTGGCCCCTGCCAGTACCAGAACATGTAGTAGCTGCTCATGCTGGCTCCACTCATTCTGCAATGGAAGGTGACTCTATCTCCCACTCGCACGGCCAGTTCCCTGGTGTGTTGCTCCAAGGCCACCTGGCCAGTGACTGCTGCAGGGAGTGAAAACAAGCCGTGGTCACTCCAAGATTCAGCAAAGCAGGGGCTCATGAGGATGGAGCTGGCATGGGGAGGAAGCCACGCTCCTGTCCCTGAAACTGCTCTGAGCAAGCACAGGAAGCAAAAGGAGCTCTCACAGCCAAGTGGGGCTTGGGCCCTATGCTGCCAGCTGCAACATGGTCTTTGCAAGATGGGTCAGCAGTTCCCCATGAGCACACTGTCCTGTCCAAGCGGCAAGCATTAGGCCCCAAGATGCAGAAGGAGGTAGGTGCCTCTGCCTGTCCCCACACTGCAGAGGAGGCAGGTTGGACGGAGGTGCCTAGCCCACGGCTGGAAGAGAAGCAGGGCTGCCCCCACCACGCTCCACAGGAATGGGTGGAGAACCAGAGGCGTGGGACAGGGCAGGCTGCACAGATCTGTGCAGAGCACAGGGGCATGCTCAGGTCCTGGGGGGCATCACCCCTTCCTTTTCACTTACCTGCAAGGGGCAAGAACCCCAGGCACAGGGCACTCCACATGGCCAGGCACGCTCAGCCTTGCCTTGCCTCTCTCCAGCTTCACTCTGCCTGCAGAACGGCTCTGCCCACAGCTTCCCTGCCTGGGCCTCTGGCACTGCACTCACTCCCAGTCCCGCCCAGTCCCTCCCTCGGTCTATGACAACAGTGAAGGCGAGAGGCGGGGGCTGGAAAGGCAGAAGGAGTGGAAGCCCTTGCTTGCACTCCTGGCTGTCTCTCACCCTGCAGGGTGCAATAACCGAGCACTCGCTTGGCCGCAAAACCT